AATGTTAAGAGCAAAATATTTAAAACATTCAATAGAAAATACAGGAAAATATTTTCTTGATCTTAGGATAGAGAACATTCCTTGAACAAGAGCATGAACCATAAGAAAAAGATTGATAAATTAGACTATGTTAAAATTAAGAACTCCTTTCCAATGGAGACACTATAATGAAAGTGAAAAGACAGCTCTTACTGCCTTGGCCAGTTTTACTCAGTGGTTAGAGCGTCAGCCCGCGGATCAATGAGTCGCAGATTGGACTCCGGTCAAGGGCACGTACCTGGGTTGTGGTTCATCCCTGGCCCTGGGTAGGCGTTGTGTGGGATGCAACCAGTGGATGTGTCCCTCTCATGCTGTTGTGTCTCTCTCTCTTCCTCTCTCCCTCTCTCTCCCTCCCACTCTATCGGAACAAAATGGAAAAATATCCTTGAGTGAGGAGAAACAAAAGATAGCTCTTGCTTTATAAATTTAATAATGATAAATCTAGGAAATCTATAATAACCGTTCAATAAATTGTCTAAAAATAAGTTTTATATAAACCAGCAAAGAACCTATACACAAAATTCAGGGCAGATATGAATAAAAACTAAGCAAATACCCACATCTAACAGCAGTTTCAATCACACTATTTTAATGACATACATAAATCTTTTGTGCCAGATGGAGATAAATAATGTAAATATATTTTTTAAATCAGTAAACAAACACTTTGACAATAACAATTATCTTAAGAAAATCATGTGATTTTTAATGACACATTAAACTGTGAAAATGGTAAGAAATACAAGTGATAATAATTTCATTGACATTAATGTGCTTAGGACCATTCAATAAACACTGAATCTTGCAGAGCACCAGGTACTGTGGAATACACAAATAGTGAAGACATAGTCTTTGATCTTTAGGCCTATAAACTAGTTAGCAAGCAGTAAAATACAGATATCTATAAAGAGAGAAGTCAAATTTCTATCTAGATCTCAAATCAACCTGTTTTTCTCCACCTTCACCATCTCTGTAACCCCTCCTAAATGATCTCTTGCATTTACCTAATTCTATGCCAATCTATTCACTATACTGCAGCTACAGAAACCTTCTGAAATGCAAGAGGACCAGAGATGAATTCTTTGGAGAAAAAGACTCTAGATTTAGAAACACCAGGCATAGGGATTTACGTGTAAGCCTGTAATGAACAATGAAGCCCAGCAACCTTTACCTAACCTGCCTCTATAACTGAAAAAGAAGTACTTACTTGCCTTACTGGGATAATGAGGATTCTTCTTTAGAAAACTAAACTAGAACCACCTCCGGATACTGATATTTGGAAGTTCCTCCAAGGAAAATGCCAACCTGCCAAAGCACCTTTAAGTAAAAACCACCAGCAGACAAGCAGTTGGCTCTTTAATGTCTAAGAAAAGCAGAAGTTATTATATCCAAAGACAAAATGCTATGAAAAAAAACAAAAAACAAAAAAATAAGAAAACAAGAAAAAGCTCTTGGAAATTGAATAGCAGAAATAGAGAATTCGGTAGAAAGAATTTAAGATAAAGTTGAGGAAATCTCCCAGAAAGTAGAAGAAGATTAAACATTCAATCCAAGAGTCCCAATGTAAAATAGAACGGGACTCAGCAAACTTTTGCAGCAAAGGGCCAGAGGGTAAATAGTTTAGGCTTTGCAGGGCATACGGTCTCTGTTACAACCACTCAACTCTGCTGGTGTGAAAGCAGCCAAAGGTAACGTGTAAACAAATGGGGCAGATAGAAGGCCAGATCTGGCCTGTGAGCAAAGAGAAAACACAGAGGAATAAACTATCAAATAAATATCTTAAGAAAATTTCCCAGAACTAAACAACATGAGTTTTTAGAGTGAAAGGGTCCAACACAAAAAGAACATAATCATCCAATTTCAAATATCAGGGATAAACAGACTGGGGTGGGGGTCAGGGGGTGGATCCTAAACAAAGACTGGGGAAATCAGATGATATCAACATTTTTAAAAATTTTATTTTTCAATTACAGTTTACATTCAATATTATTTTGTATTAGTTTCGGGTATACCACATAGTGGTTAAACAATCAACAATCATATACTTTAAAAAAACACCACAATCATATACTTTATAAAGTGTTTCCCCAGTATTTCCAGTACCCACCTGGCAGCATACATTGTTATTTCAATATTAATGACTATATTCCCTATGCTGTACTTTACATCCCCGTGACTATTTTGTAACTACCAATCTGTACTTCTTAATTCCTTTACCTTTTTCACCCAGTCCCCCAACCCCCCTCTCTTCTGGCAATCATCAATCTGTTCTCTATATGTATGTCTGTTTCTTCCTTTTTTTTAAATTTTAATTCATTGGGGTGACATTGGTTAATAAAATATGTTTCAGGTGTACAGTTCTGTAATACATCATCCATACATTGTACTGTGTGTTCACTAACCCAAGTAAGTCTCCTTCCATCACCATTTATTTCCTTTATCCTCTTCTAACCCCCAGCCCCCTTTCCCTCTGTATAAATTCTGTTTCAGTTTTGTTTGTTCATTTATTTTGTTTTTTAGATTCCACATTAAGTAAAATCACATGGTATTTGTCTTTCTCTGACTGACATTTTCTTAGTATAATACCCTCTCGGTCTATCCACACTATCACAAATGGTAAGATTTCATTCTTTTTTATGACCAAGCAATATTCCATTGTATATATGTACCACTTCTTTTTTATCCACTTGTTTATTGATGGGCACCTGCTTCCATATTTTAGCTATTGTAAATAATGCTGCAGTGAATGTAGGGGTGCATATATTCTTTTGAATTAGTGTTTTGGGTCTATTCCAAAAAGTGAAATCACTGGGTCATGAGGCAATACCATTTTTAATTTTTTGAGGACCCTCCATACTGGTTTCCATAGTGGCAGCACCAATCTGCATTCCCACCAACAGTGCATGAGGGTTCCTTTTTCTCCACATCCTTGCCAACACTTGTTTATTGATTTATTGATGATGGCCATTCTGACAGGTAGAGATTATATGCCATTGTGCTTTTAAATTGCACTTCTCTGATGATTAGTGATGCTGAGCATCTTTTCATGTCTATTGGCCATCTGTATGTCCTCTTTGGAAAAGTATCTATTCAGGTCCTCTGCCCATTTTTAATTGGACTGTGTTTTTTGGTGTTGAGTTGTATGAGTTCTTTATAAATTTTCGATATTAACTCCTTATCAGATGTATCACTGGCAAATATCTTCTCCCATTCAGCAGGTTGTCTTTTTGTTTTCTTTGCTGTGCAAAAACTTTTCAGTTTGATATAGTTCCATTTGTTTATTTTTTCTTTTGTTTCCTTTGTCCTAGGAGATACATCAGAAAAAATATTGCTACGAGTAATGCCAGAGGTTTTACTGCCTGTGCTTGCTTCTAGAAGTTCCATGGTTTTGAGTCTTACATTTCAGTCTTTAATCTATTTTGAGTTTATTTTTTTATATAATGTAAGAAGGTTGTCTAGTTTAATTTTTTTGTATGCAATTTGTCAAATTTTCCCAACACCACTAATTGAAAAGAATGTCTTTGCCCCATTTGTCAAATATTGACCATATAGGTGTGGGTTTATTTCTGGGCTCTCTATTCTGTTCCTTTGATTTATATATCTGTTTTCATGCCAGTACCATACTGTTTTGATTACTACAGCCTGGTAATATAAATATTTTTATATAAACATTTTATAAAGCAACATTAAACTAGAAAGCCTAGAACGCTTTCATAATTGAAAGAGAATGCCAACTAGAATTCTATATCTATTGAAATTAGCAATTACATATGAGGGGAGAATAAAGGTATTTTCAGTCACATAATAAAAGACGCACTCCAACAAAACACTGGAGTAAATAAAAAATGAAGAAGACATGATATCAAGGAAAACAGGGACCTAACACAGAGGAGCAGCTCGGAAAGTTCCAATAAGCCTAGAAAGTGACTCCAGATTGAAACTGGGGGAAGAAGGACTTCAGAAGAGAGTCTTTAGGATAAAGAACAGAAGTGATGTATTTGAACAAATGAAAAATATTACTGATAGCATGTGGCAGAGATGTGCAGCATTTAGAAAAAAACAACAAAAATACAGAAAGCGAAGCAATTAAAAAAAATGAGGCAATTATTAACTTCAAAAGAATAAAAAAGGCTGTATTATATTTTACTAATTTGGCTTAGCAAAAAATTATATCTTTATAATCAAATAATGAGATACCAATAACTAATTTAACCAAAAGTTATATGTAATTATATAAGGGGAAGGGAAGTAAAGAACAAGGTGGAAAGCTAGATCTCCACCTATTATGGCAAGAAGAGATCATTTCTAAACCTGATTAAGAAATACTAGCCTACACATGGTATTTAGGAATAGTTAAAAAAAACAGGGAAAATGACTCAAAGAATTAAAAGTGGTTTCTTCCAAGTGGGACTTGGAGATGGATAAAGGTAGGATTTTATAAGCCTTTTAATTTTATTTGACTTTTAACTATATAAATATATTGTTTTATAAAAGTAATTTAAAATAATTAAATTTATTAAAAAGCCAATAACTAGCAAAGAATAATTACAAAGCTATATTAATTCAACAATATTACAGAGAGAAGATCAATATCCTCAAATTATAAGAAATTCTTAAAAAGACAACATAATATAATATATGCAATTTACAAAAGAAACATTACCATCCAAGGAGTCAAAAATTTGAGAAATGGGTAATATTAATGTTGGTAAAGGTTTTGGAAAATGCCATGATTGTGAGAATGTAAGCTGATATGTCATTTCTGGAGAAAATTTTGGTACTATGAACCAAAATCTTAAAAATAGGTATGATATTTCATTCAGTAATTCCTGGTAAAAATATATCCTTAAGGAAATAGTTATAAATATGTATAAAAGGATTCAGCTACAGGGGTATTCATTTTAGCAAAATTTTCTCAAGTCTGTCTTATTCACGCTGATTTACTAGACACAGAGCCTCACCTGAACTGTACGTCCCGCGTTGATATGCTCTTCATGCAACTTGTCCCAGAGTCTGCATCTCTGATACTACAGAAAAGAGAGGGCAAAAGTACTTATGTTTTTTTTATCACTAAAATGATTGTTTCTAGTTACCACAAAAATCCCGTCACCTACCCAAACTTAAACATACCAGATAAAAATATTATTGACTTAGTAATGGCAATTAACTGTCCAAAACCAAACAAGTAGGAAGTTTTCAAAAACATTACATACAAAATTCTGGCAGATGGTAAACAGTAAAACAAACAAAAATCACTATGTACTATTTATTTTAGTGAAAGAGAATATAAACTTTGTCTATTTTTTTTAAAACTCCAGAGTTTGCAATATAAAGAATGAGAATGCAGAAGAATGTAAAAAATAAGATTAATAGCATTCATCAGATACTCTTACTTCATGTGAAAATTTTGTCAATGATAGTGTCAAGTATTGAAAATTAAAATCTGATTTTGAAAAAAAGTAACATTGATACTACAAATAGAAAGCATATAAAAATGAGAGTGAACATTTAATACATATGTTTCAGTTCTTACTAAGGCAATGTTTACCTTTCAGAAGTTCATCCAAAAAACTTTATGAGCATGATAATGAAAAATGTTTCATTTGACAGGAACTATAGCAAAATGTGATAGATAACAGTACAGCAGAATACTATACAGAATAGAAATATGAATACCAAACATCACATACTATTTTTGGTTGACATAAAAAATCCAAATAATTAACATGTCAGCAGATGTGAATAATAACATTAAGTACATTTTTGGTATACAACACACACAAAAATAAAATAAACTAGAAATATTAGAAAGAACAGAAACATGAAAATGCACCATATACGAATGAAAGGCATAACAGAGCTCTAAAAAATTTCTATGGAATTTTTATATTCCTTAATCTACATATTCTTTAAATTTGGTAATGAATGATGCAGCAAAAAGAAACCATCTTATTGATACTTCCAATTTTTTTTACATCACTTAATAACAAAAAGTAACCATTAAGCTTAAAAATAATTTAACTATATTGAATATATACTTACAAAACATAAATTTAAAACCACTATCAAACTACTTCAATTAATTTTTTTAAATCCTTACTCAAAAAATTTTTAATTGAGCTTGATGGAGAGAAAGAGAAAGAGACAGACAGACAGACATTGATTGATGTGAGAGAAAATATCCATCAGTTGCCTCCCTCCCATACACACCCTGCTGGGGATGGAACCCACAACCTAGTTATGTGATCTGACCAGGAATCAAACCCACAAACTTTTGGTGCACAATACTACAATCCAACCAACTGAGCCACCTGGCCAGGGTTCAAACTACTTTACAAGAAAAATTAAATTATCAGCAGATAATTATCTATTAAATAATGTTATGATATTAATGAAAAGATGAGAATGGAAGCCAAAGATACATGTTTAAAAATAAACCACTTTTAAATGTATTAATACTAATCTGTCATAATATTTTAAGAAAAATTAGTTTAAGGAAACAGTTGAGAATTCAGGGAGGCCAGAGCTGCTAGAATTCACGACGCAGACATCAGAGAGGAGAGGGCTGCATGTGAGGAGTTAGCTGCAATGAGAGGAGAGGACTATGCTGAGAGAGCACTCTAGACATCTGTATGGTTTCCTTTCAAGTCCCAGCAGAGTACAGATCAGCACCCACACACAAGGAAACTACCTGAGGTCAGAAAAAGAACCACTGAGAAGGAATAGGTGAATTCATCCCCAAAGATCACACAAGGCCAGAAAAAGTTCATGTGACTATAACTCAGAATAGAAAAACTTTGCAGTACACTGGACATCAGGCAGAATATTCCAAAGTATTGCCCTTTATGGTGAAAAATTAGCCCAATAATAAAGGCTGTTCTGATCCTATAAAAGAAAGTTTAAAAGAAAACCTCAAAAACATCAAACTGTTCCCAAAGAACTTAAATGTATCTCAGAATAAAACTCGAAAATACAAAGGGTATTTAAAAATATTCAGTATCCATCGAGATAAAGTACACAATGTTTGTCATCCAATAAACAATTACCATGCATGGAAAAAAAATAAAACCACAGGAAAATATCATCTGAAATGAGAAAAAACAATCAACAAAAATAGACTTAGATATGATAGAAATATGGAATTAAAAGACAAGGATGTTAAAAGTTATTATGATGCATTCCATGTAGTCAAGAAAGTAGAATAAAACATGAGCATATCGAGACATGAAAGAAAAGATTAAAGTCACAGCAATAGAAATAATCCAAAATGAAACACACAGAGAAAAAAGATGGACAATAAATGAAAAGAGAATCTTGCTGTTGCTCAGTCATGGGCCAACTGAAAGCAACATAATAAATATGTAATTGGAATCCCTGAAGAAAAGAGGACAGAAAAAATATTTGAAAAGTTAATGGCCAAAGCTTTTCCAAATCTGATTTAAAAAAACAAAACAAAACGATAAACCCACAGATCCAAGAAATTCAAGAAATACCATAAAAGAGAAAAATGAAGAATACTATATTAATGCACATCATCATAACATTACTTAAAATAAGTGATGGAGAGAAAAATCTTAAAAGCAGCCAGAGGAAAGAAAGACACATGAAGTACAGAGGAACAAAACAAGAATGACAGAGAACTTCTCATGAAAAACAATGCAAACCAGAAGTCAGTGGAGCAACATGTTGAAAGTACTAAAAAAAACAAATCTAAAACTCAACCTAGAATTCAACACCAAAAGAAAAAATTTTAATGGCAAATATTTTTTTGTAAACATAAAAAAACTCACAGAATTTATCACTAGCAGAAGTGTTAACGGAAGTCCTTCAGGCTGATAGAAAAAAATGATACCAGATAGAAACTTATTCTACATAGAGGAATGAAAGGAGCACTAAAAATGGTAAAGACACAGGTAAATATAAAGTGTGTTTTTTCTTATTTTTAAAATCTCTTTGAGAGATAACACTGTTTAAAACAAAAATAACAACAGGGTCTTGTGGGGTTAATAACATACATAGAAGTAAAATATATGAAAATAACACTACAAAGACTCCAAGAAAGAGGAAAAAGAGTATTCTGTTATAAGGATCTTATAATATACACGAAGTTATATATAAAACATTACTGGATGGTGTAGTATGGTAAGTATAAGATGAATGCTCTGAATTGTAGAGCAACAAAAAAGAATAAAAAAACAAAGAGGTAAAACTAATAAGCCAGCAAAAGAGAAAAAAAATGAATTCTAAAAAAAATATGCAATCAATCCAAAAGAAGGGAGTAAAAGATGAAAAGGGGGACAAAGAATAGATGGGACAAATAGACAAAAACATGAAAATGGTAGATTTAAAGACAACCATTTGACACATGTCTATTCACTATAAACATTCTCAGCAAACTAAAAGTAGAAGTTAACATCCTCAACATGATAGAGGCAGCAATGAAAATCCTATAGTTGACATCATGCTTAGTGGTAAAAGACCATTCCCTAGTCTTAGGAACAAGGTAAGGATGTCTGATCTCACCACTCCTATTAAACATCACATTGGAGGTCCTAGCCAGTGCAATAAGGTAAGGGAAAGGAACAGGGGAGAGAAAAAGGGGGAAAGAGAGGGAAAGAGAAGGAAGGAAGGAAAGTTTGTCTTTACAGATGACATAATTGTCTACATAGAAAATATCAAACACTCTAACAGAAAAGCTGCATAATATTAACAGATGGCCCAATAATTGCAAGCCATAAGCTGAGGATTACTCAAGTACTGAAAATTAATACCTACCCCATGGTGTAGGTTAAAGGGATTCACCTAACAGTGCCTACCAAATATAAAAAAATATAAAAACCAAAACAAACATAAAGGATATATCCAAGAATTATTATGAATCTCCTAATGCATTAGAAACTATTAACTGTACAGTGCCAATGCTGAGTACCTGGGGAGGCTAATTTACTTAAGTAACCCATTTCCAAGTATCAATTGCAGTCAGAAGTCTTTCAAGTATTAATCCTCATAACTACCTATGAAGAAGATTTTAATTTTATCTTTACAACTCTCTAAAGATCATGGGCATTTGCAGCTTTTCTCTGAATGATTAAGTTGGTGAACATTAAATCTGTGAACCTCAAGGTCCACTCATTACACAGTGCTGTGTGAAGATGGTGTGTTTATATCTAACTGGCATATTCCACAGTAAATAACTAAGTTAGGATTTGAACGAAAACAATGTTTGAAAGGTAGACAAATGGGGTGGGTATTGCTAACAAACATAGGAGGAAAGCAAAACTATTCAACTCTGTATTTTTTCATTTTCCTTCTTCATTGAGGAAAATAATCTTCAGAATGAGATAGTCTATAATAAACATGATTAAGAGGAAAATGAAAACCAAGAATGAGTAAGAACAAACCTACAGTCCAAATCAACAGCCCAGAGAAATTACATCTGAGTGAACCAAAAGAAGACCTTGCAAATGTGATCACAGAAACACTTTTGCTTATCTATGAGGAACTGTAAAGAATTGAAAACGCTCCTACAGACCAGAAAATATTAACCCAATTTTCTCAAGAGAAAGCTTCTTTAAAACACTGCAGGCTGTAGGTTGACACCATTTTGGATTCAGTCCAATTATGTTACAGATGTCCTCAATAAAATTCTGATCCTACATAAAAAATAAATAAATAAAAATAAAATAAAATAAAACACTGCAGACTGTAAATCTCTGAGAAAATTCTATACCAGATTATCAGAGAGATGACTTGTAAGAATTTAAAGAAACGGTAACAGTATATCAGGGTTCTATCCCTTTCCTGTCCAACATCTTTCATCAGTGCCTTGAAAACAAAGAATGTATAATTACCAAGTTTGCAGATAAAATAAACTACTAGGAATAATTACAGAGATGAAAGATTACAATTCCACATAAGAAGAAATGTAACAATGACAAATTTAAAGACTAGCATTTAAATTAAAAAGGGTGTCCTGGCTGGAGTGGTTCAGTTGGCTGGGCATTGTCCCATGCACCAAAAGGTTGCT